AATCCCTTCTATGCACCAATCTGTTCCATTGGTTGAAATTTAATTTTTTCTGCCATATGGTGCTGGCTCTCCTTACACATTCGAGTCTGACTATGTCCATCAGTGTTAAGATTCCGTGATAGGTGATGTTACAGGGATTTATGCAGCTGCATTAGGGAGGGGAGGGGAACTGTCACTGTAGCTCATGCTTCACACCAGCTTGAGTGTATGGATCCGTGAAGTTGCACATCTCTAAGGCATGTCCAGGACACTGCCCTGTGTCTCTTGCTCCCAGAGCCCTGTCCACACACCCTTACATCCCTGAGAAGTGCTCCAGGCTCTGCCCAGGGGCTACTGGCCTGCTGTTCTCACCTTGGCCCCCAGAGATTCTCCTCCTCTTTCTGGATCCAGCCTGCTGCTCTGGTGCACCCCTGAGCTTGCCGCAGAATCCTCCCACAGTCATCCTCGGGCGGTGGTTTTCCCTCTTTCATTGATTCTTGCCTGCTTCCTAACGTTGAGAGATTCTGTGTAGTTTCTGGTTCATCCTGTTTGCTTTCTTTTTAATCATGAATTTGCCCTGAAGTGTTTCATTTTTTATATCTTTCTAATGAGTTCTATGCATTTCAGGGAGAGGAAATTGGCAATGTGTTATGAGATGTCTGTCAGGCCTCCATCCTACATGGAAAACATTTCACCATTTTCCACCATTTTTGCAAAAACAGTTGTGTGTTCGGGGGATGGGGATCATGTGCAGGAATAGTTATCCTGGGAGCTGATCCGTGCTTACCCTGAGAAGTCCACTGTCAAGGCCTGTTGCAGGTTCTGCTGCTTCTGTACCCCAATAAGTACAGAAATTGTGGCCACTGACGTACCCTGTGCCAGGGCTCAATCTCTGTAGGCACAACTGGCAGTTCTCAGCAACCCCTGAGATCTAACCACCTTCCTTGGTCATTATGAGGGACGTGGTGGTGGGCTGTAAGCTTTTGCATACACCTCGCTCTCATTTGCTAATTTAGGGGATTCTCCTTTTCTCCTTATTGATTCATTTTCATTCTTTCTGGGGCCCCTGCTTTCCCCCAAATGCGGTATTTTTTCTCCTTTCCATCCGTAGGCGGTAACCTCCAAAAGAGTAATGTAATAGGGTTCCAAAGAGTTGACTGCCTCTAGTTGAACAAAAGCTTTCTTGGAGTGGGCAAGGAAAAGTCCAACCAAAACCACAAATGGCTTTCATGGTCAGTTTGGTTATTAGCCTAAATGTCTCAGTGTCCTTTCTGCAGCCTCCTCCACCACAGGGGCTCCTACTGGACCTCCTCACATCCCGTTTAAGGTTCACCCAGACACCCCACCACTATGGGAGGAGTGTAAAGTAGCACACCCAGAAAAGCACTTGGGATGCCCTCTGGAAGCCACAATCTGGCAAAGGCTGCCCTCTGGCCACAATAGTTCACCTTCTTTCTACCTGCGAAATATATTTTCTCCCCCCTAAGAACTCTCACATCAGCTCTACAGCATTGCCAAGGAGGGGCTTGAGTGAGGGAGATTTTGTCTTCCATAGACATTGCCTTCCTCCTGAAACCCATCATAACCAACAATTAAGCAGCTTCCAGACAAGCCTCCTGCCTCCATCAGCAGCCCCTAGAGGTCCCCAAGTAAACAGACGATCTAAGCCACCCCTGGGCTTGCTGATGAAGTGTTCTCCAAGATTCACTGCTAGGCTTCCTTTAAGCCCTTTGTTCCTCTTTTGTATAGCCTCTGGGTCTGCCACTGTGCAGCAGTGAGAACAAACCCAACTGAATATCTTTATAAATCATCTTTCCACGGTATACACTGGAAACAAATATGTTAACACCCATATCTATTATTTTCAAGTGGTGAGGTTTTCGGTAGTTCTTTTGTTTTCCTTTTTTTTCCGAATGTTCTGAACATTCTAGAGTTTCAATTTTCTACAATGTACAGTGTAGAAAACCACCTACAGACAGCTCCCATGTCACACACCATGGATTGCCTGCCCAGGACTCATTCTCTCTCTTCCTCTTTCTTCCTTACCAGCTGTGCTCTCCTCTGGGCCCTGGGGATTTACCCCTACATACAAGACTCCTGCCTTCTGCTCCTAGTTGGGTTTCGCTAATGGGGGCAACTGGCGAGAGATCAGTGGGCGGAAGGGGAGAGTGTTTAGGGTATTTCTTCCTCTGTTCCTTCCATACTGTCACTCTTGGTGGCCACCTGCCTGATAGGTGCAGTGCTTGCTGGGCAGGGTGCCCTCCTGACTCCAGGTTTCCTGTGTTCAATTAGCCATTTGTGTCTCTTTTCTCCTTTAGGTCAAAGGGTGGTGACAGCTCCTCACTGCTCCTCTTCAAGATGCTCATACCTCTGCAAATAATCCCTGCATTAAATTCTCTCCATCATTCATCAGACTTCCGGCTGACTCACCAAAGAAGAGCTGTGTGATATTACGCAAGTCCCTTACCTCTTGGGCGTCCATTCACTTATTTGCAAAATAATGGATTTGGACCAGACTGGTGTTCCTCAAACTCAGTTCCATATTGGTAAGCATTTTTGAAAAGGGATTCTATCTTTGTTTTCTGTTAGTGGGAATGTAAAACCATGCAGCTACCATGGAAAACAGTTCCAAACAGATTAGAAATAGAATTACCAGGGGCCGGGGTTGTGGCTCAGCGGTAGAGCACTCGCCTAGCACATGTGAGGCCCTGGGTTCAATCCTCAGCACCACATAAAAATAAGTAAATAAAATAAAGGCATTGTGTCCAACTACACCAAAAAAAAAATTAAAAAAAATTACCATAGGATTTATAATTCTACTTCTGAGTACATATTGGAAAATAAAATGGAAAGCAGGGTTCTGAAAAGATATTTGTACACTGGGGTTCCTAGCAGCATTACTCACAGTAGCCAAGAAGTGGAAACTACTCAAGTGTCCATCAGTGAATGAGTGGATAAGCCAAACGGGGTGCATCTGTGTGATGGATCACCATTCAGCCTTAGAGAGGAAGGAAATTCCAACAGGTGCTGCATCACAGATGACCTTGTGGACAAGAGGCTGAGTGAGCCAGTCACAGAAAGACAAATGTTACACGACTTCACCGCTATGAAATATCTCGAGTAAATGGAATTAGGTTTGGAAAAAGTAGATTCTATATGAATAAAGAAACCTTCCTCACCTCTGTAAAAAACATTTCTAAATTGACCTTGGAGTTTTGACACAAACAAAGAAGGTCATCTCCAGGGTCCCTTTGTGGTTCTGTGGCCTCTGACTTCTTTCCCTGAAGAGTCAACCCCAGTCACAGCCATTTCTGACATTTACTTGTTGGCTTTTTTTTCTGATCACAGGGGTTCTCGCTGCCAGAGACATGTCCGGACCGTGAGATGGGAAAGAATCTTTCTCAGTGACCAGAATCCTGGCCAACAGCCTTAGGAGCCCAGAGTAAGCTGCATTTATTTCCTGGACTCTGAGTATTGGGTGGAAGGAGGTAGAATGTCGTATTTGAAGGTGATTGTATGTGAACGGGTTTCAGTTCTTTGTCAACAACAACATTCAACGTGGATCAAAGTGCAGAAAATATATGCCTCCGAAAGCTGTTTAAATTCCCATTTTTCTTTTTGTAACTATGTTTGTTGCACTAAGAATCTGACTGCAATGATCTGATATAGATCTTGTTTAGTCAAGTAGTGCCTAGATACTTTGTCTTTCTAGATTTCCTTCTAAAGGTAATTATTGGTAGTGAGGAAGAACCATCATAGATTTATCTTTAAGGAGATTAAAAGAATAGAAAATGTCAGAATCAGACTTTTTACTTTAGTCAGACAGAAAAAGATACTTGAACCAAAATAAATATTTGTGCCACTTGATTCCTAGCATTGATTTGTCCTGTTTATAAGGAAACAGGGGGTTATCTGACTGTAATAGGGACACCCAGCACTTTTTCTTTGACTTTCTCCAATCCCAGGGTCTGAAAAGGAGGGTTCCTGGCCTATGTAGATGACCCTCTTCTAACTACCAAAGAAAACAGAAAGGCATGAGGGAGACATCTTTCATTCCCTAGATGTTGTGCTGGAGGTTCTGATGTTTGGGGCTGATGTTAGCAGCCACTTTACAGATAAAAGGAAAAAGCCAAGCTCCTCACAGAGTGGTTGACCCAGCGTCCTCTAGGGATCAGCTCTAAAACCATGGTGTTCGGATTCCTTAATATGTATGATAACTAAATGCCACATTTCAATAAATTACATTTGGTGGATGTTTGTTGAGTGCCTATAATCTGTTAGCCACTGTTTTAAGTCCTTTAAAAACATCAATTAACAAAGATCCTTGCCTTCCTAGAGCTACATACTAGCTGCTAGTTGTCATTACCTACTGCCTGCAGTTGAAAGCATTTCCGAATATCTGTGGTATAATTTGAGCTTTTATGGTTTGGGTGCTGTGGTGTGCTGAAGCTGACTCCTACCAGCTTTCAAGAATCAATAAATGTTTAGGATTTTTTTTCTTTAAACACAGCAGCTTGGTTAAGTTGTATACATGTGTAATTGAATTATATTAAAAATAGTCAAACTTAGCATTTCCAACTTATTTATCAGTTGACCTTTTGAAGTTATTTGCATGTATTGCATTTGTATGATGCAGATAGTATGTAATGGGTCACTCCTGTGCCTCTCTTCCCAAGTTCATGTTCCATGACATCACTTTGGCATCTTGAAGCCAACCATGGTGGGAACATTTAAGTCATGGAAATTGACAACAGCTACAGATCAAAGGGCTTGGTTTATTGTTCTGATGAGGGTCTAGATTTAAGAATGAAATGGAGAAAATGTTAATCCAGATTAAATGTAAAAGATTGTTGTGTCTGTGACCATTATATTCTGAATAACAAAAATGTGAGGAAATATTCTTCTAGCATTGAAATACTATTATGTAAATCAGCAAAGAAGTTGCTGACATCATGAGGATCAAGTGATGCTCTGACATTATCTTCACGGTTTCACCTTTACCCAGCTCTTCAAGTTCAACAAAACATCTACCAACATTCTTACTAAAACTACACTCATATATCGGGTACAGACACAAGAGCTTGAGAAAAATCAAAGAGTGTGTTCTGTGAGAATCTATTGGCTGAATGGATTTACAGTTTACAATATTGTACACTTTTTTTTTTATAATTTGTAAATTGTGTGACTCATACATTTTATTTCAGTAAACTTGAGAACAAACTTACATACATATTTGTAGAGCTGATTCTTGAGCATTTACCTGCACAGCACTGGTTGGGTGGGATCACACATGAAGCCAGGCTTTGAGTCATGCACTGTGAGATGGAGTTCAGCTGATCAGAGACATAGCCTAACCACATGGCTTACTGAGCCCACTCAGAGAGTCCCTACTAGAAGAGCTGTAGAAACTACAAACTGCATGATTTTTGCATTAAAACTGTCCACAGAGTACGTGCCCAACCATTCAGGGCCTAATGTGTCTTCATAATATGTCCCACATAGCAACTAGTGTGTTGAGAACAAAACATAAAACAAAAAATAAAGTAACACGTGACTGTAAAAAGGTGTTTTGGAACAGCCTTGGTCAGATTGCTCTTTATGAACCAAGAGTTTCACTGACATGTACATGTGCAATTATTGTCTTTTCCATGGAAAAAATTGGAATGTACAAATAATGCTTGTTAAACAAGTACCCACCTGGTTCTATATGTCCTTCTTCAACTATAATTATTTCAGGGAGGGGAGACCAGTGGTTTTTGCAAAATGCCTTAGAATTTCTTGTTTAACAATGTTGTTAACTGATGATTAATGTTGGTGAAGAAAGACTGCCCATTAAACCTCAGAAAAAGAGGTAAGAGAGATGATTGGATTCACCATGGCCTAGGTTTCTACAGGGGAGAAATAAGGCCAGAGACCTACCCTTTGTGCATTAGTTTTTGGAGCTGCCTGCGGAGTTGGCTGCAATTTGCCTGCAAAAGCTTTTTTATACATTATCAAGAAGAGCCAAATCCTCTTTGGATGTTTGCAAAACCAGAAAATGATCCGCCAGCAGAGGGCTGAAACCAGTGTGGATAATTTGTCAATATTGCTATCACCGTTTTGCATAGCGAATTAACAAGAGTAGAATAATCGTTAACTGTTTTCAATTTCTTGGTGTGTCGAGACTTACATCTCATTACCCTTTGCCCCTTTATCTCATTGCCTTTTTTAAAAAAAATCCCACGTCTTTATTACAATTATCATGAATGGAACATATTGACTGAGTGAGAGTTCTGGCTTAGGAATGTAATAAATATTTAATTCATGTGTGCATAAGAAATTAAAACACATCACTTATTTTTGATTGACATTAGAAAGCCTTAGTTCAGACAATGATTTTGGCTTATATTATCAATGCTAAGAGGATTCTCATTAGTGAATGTGTAAAAATGAAGCAGTATGCAGAGATTTGCTCTGATTAAAGCTGTTTGTTTTCCCACACAGTGGTCTGTTTTTCACTAAACAGCATGACCTTATTCAGGACCCTATGCCCCTCTCCCCTGCCCCAGTAGTGCTGGGGATCCATCCCAGGGCCTCATACAAGCTGGGCAAGTGCTCTACCACTGAGCTACACCTAAGTCTGGCAACTATTGCTCTTTGAAAGTTTTTGGTGAGCGAGGCCTAAGCCAAAGATGTGATCTCCCTTAATTTTAGAGAGGTCTAAGATAAAAAGTGATCCTGGGAAGGGAGAAAGAAAATTCTTTAATGGAGACACACAATGATCATTTGACACCCAGTAAATGGTAAGTATCCAGCTGCTGGGGGTGAACTCAGCTCATTCAGGAATCTCACTGGAATGAAGACTCCATTTACTTGTGGAGCACCTTATCTCATTTTCACATGTACAGAGAAAGGAACCAAAGTATGGTGGAAGGAAGAGATAGAGCTCTTCCTTCTGCCACTTGGGGCATAAATTTGGGCAAGTCACTTGACCCCCTTGAGTTCCAATTTCCTCATCTCTGGGATTATAGGAATTATAAAACCTAGCATGTGGGCTACTGTGTTCACTAATGTAAACATACAATTCATTTTTTTATGAACTGGAGTCCAACTCAAAGTTGAGGAAGAAATGATGCTCACCTCCAAGTAATTTACAGGCATTTAAAAAACGATTTACTGTGGTTAGGCATAGTATAGTGATTTCTTGTTTACCTCTAACGACTTCTATTATGCTATTTTAATGGAAGGTAATATGGTTGGGCCTACATGGGGAGGGGGATGGGGTCATATAGGGACATATATTCTTTGGAACAGTGACTTTGCTTAGAACTGATCAAGTGAAACATTCTGAGATTAAAGACCCAGTAAAGACATTCCTCTTTCTTATTCTACCTATACACATCTACTGCTTCAAAATGCAGACTAAACCCACACACTCAATATCAAAACTTGTAATGATTACAACCCAATCTAAAGAATAGGCAAAGGTCTTGAATCAACATTTATCAATTTGTAGTTTGAAGTCCCAACCTCCTGATCATCCGAATGTGATTGTATTTGGAGATAGGATCTTTAAGTTTTTGAATGAGCCCTAATCCAATATAACTGGT